GTAAAAACAACCCTTACCTGCAGCAAAATGACTGTAATGCGCAGCTATAATAAACAAACAAATAAATAAATGTGTCTGCAGTGCCTGCTTTGTGAAAAATCAACACAATTAAGTGCATTTTTCAGCTATTATAGCCACCTAGTCAAAGTACCACTTTAGCAGATGCTAACAGTGTTTGGATAATTGGCCAAATTGACCACCAGTGCAGTCTGAAATGCTAGCACAGTCCTGTTCAGGCAGAGAAGTTTTTCTCGTTTTCACTTAACATGAAATATTGTTTAGGATTTCAAATCTGACTGTGGTTAAAGATCATCATCAAATAATGTTAAATATTAGTAGTAAACCAAATATCTAAGGAGACATAGAAATGTTCAAAACAATAAAATGACAAATGTATACAGTGTAAAGTTGCCCAAATCTGAATTGTCAACTTTTAGGCCAACAGGAAAAACACAAAGATAAACGACTAAACCAGCCAATCAGTTACAGATTCTCTCTTACGCTAGCTACAACAAAATAAACAAATGTTACTTAATGAATGACAGTTAAACCTTCTTTCTTCTTTTTTAATTTTTTTTTAGAATATTTTATTTTAGAATGTTGTTCATAAAAAAATGCTTAAAATGTCCATCCCTGTCTGCCAGTTATTCACTGTATTAATGGGTTTTAGTGTAAGTTCATAAAAGGCACTTTTCATTGTCCACTGCTGCGTGCGGCCTCCTGCTGGCCTGCCCGTGTAAAACTGTGGACCATCTGCCAAGGTTACTGTGTTAGGACACAGTGTGTGGGCAATGAGCTGGCAGCTTACTTCACACCTGTGCTCCAGTCCTAGTGTTAAGTAGAAAGGTCACCGTTTTTTTTTAGTAAAGAACTCTGTGATTCAACTTCAAGACTGAGAGAAACAAGACTTCTGTTTGATATACTGTGCACTGCAGCCATAGATACATAACCTTAAACAGTAATTAAGGTTATGTGAAGAGCCTGCCTCTGTAGTAGGATTGCACAAAATGGACAGAATACCAGTATTGTGGTTATTGCTACATTTTACGATTGCAAGACTCCTTATATTAACAACACTTTTGGTAAATCAGTTATATGATATGATTAAAGACTGGCTTGTGTTGTTCTGACTAGAAATGATTTACTTTTGTTGGATAACATGAACATATGAAGTTAATATAACATAAAATACAGATTTTTGTTCTGTTAACTTACTGTTATAAGTTTAATTAACTCTAAATTTTAAGGCAACCAGGTTACTTACCTAATAAAGTTAAAAAAAAGATATATATATATATATATATATATATATATATATATATACACATTTTTATAGTGTTGCAGCCTTCTGAAGTATCAGTACATGAAAAAAATAATAGTAATGATTAAAGGGTCCACACACACACACACACATATCTTCTAAGCTGCTTATCCTTCTGGGTTGCGGGGGGGAGCTGGAGCCTATCCCAGCAGTCATTGGGTGGAAGGCAGGATACACCCTGGACAGGTCACCAGTCCATCGCAGGGCAGACAGACAGACATATACATTCACACTTAAAGGGTCCATATCTAAAAATATATTGTTTTTATGAATTAGTCTATAAAGTCCATATATGTAATCTAAGCTGCAAAAACAGCTTACTGTTTTGCGATGCCATTAAAACCAGCAAACACCTGTATAGTCTACAGCAGTTTAGCCTTGCCCATTCACACTAAAGTTATAAGGAGCATTTCAGCCTGAACTGCATTTTGAGTGAGGAACAATACAGGGCATCCAATCAGAACAGAGCTTATTTACATATATCAGTTTAAAACCCAGTAACAAAAACAGCCTGTTTAAAAGTGGTTCTGTTGAAATGAATTGACTCTTTTCGTTGCATAAACCCGTGTAAATAGGTTACGATCATACAGAAGTGAACCACAGGAAAATAATTATATGCAAGAAAAATATAGGACACTGCCCTTCAGCATGCATATGTAAAGTCAAATTCACAGAACCATCCACAACCATTAACCACAGTATATTATGTAGCCCAAGTCTTCACTGTAGTTAATATGGATGGTTGTGTGAATTTGACTTCACATAAACATGCTGAGGCTGCAAGTTGCAAGTTGGTATAACTGTTAGAGGACAATGACACATAATACATCTGGAAAAATAAGATTATACTTTTTTAATGCAGCCTTTGCATCTAACATGAGCAAAATGAAGATGATCGCAGTCAGTTAGGAAGTGGTTTGCCCTCAACAAGGATCTGCTCTGAAATCAGTAATCTGTAAAAATATCCTGAAAAAGAATTTCACTCTAATACATGCTGTACCTTTAAGTGTCATCAAATTTAGCTTCGATTACTTATGAGATTCTGGCACAAAAATGTATTAGGCTGGATTTTTATAGTTCTTTTCACATTTGGATGGTGAATGTGTTTGGCAGGTAGAAGCAGAAGGGAGCAGAGAGATGAAACCAGCTGTAATATCCTGCCTAAGAAATATCTGTATCAGAGCCAAGCTAATCTTTTTAGCACATTATAAAATCTAATCAAAAGGCCAATGCTTCATTGGCACTGTAGATGTTCTTATAGTAAGCCCATTGGATTAATTCTGTTTTTGTAACATGAACAGTTGAAGTTTTGTTTGACTTGTATTACCAGAGGATCTATAGAACAGGACAGCCCACAATATGTAAAATACACTGGCAGGTTTGGAATCACTTTTTATATTAGTAACTGTTGTTCAGTAACAACTTACACAGTGTAGACTGAAATGTCTACATAAATCAATAGCAAGCTGAAGTTCAGAGGCACATCGACATTTATTTTTGGTTCCACACCCTCAAGCTAAACTTAACATAAAGTAAAGTAAGTAGAAGAAGAGCTGTGTGGTAAAGCTAGCATTACAGTGTGTACAGAGAGAACTAACAGCTTCTTAATTAAATATGATCCCCAAATTCCCAACAAGCTGTTTAATGGTGAATTAGTACTCTCTAATTCTCTTTCAGTTCTTTTTTCAAAATGGCGATTCTTGCCTTTCACACATCGCCATCAAATTACTTGTCTATCATCAACGGTATTCGATTACATCGGCGTATCGCCCAGGCCTGGTAAAGTCAGTACAATTTAAAAACATAATTGCAGTGAAATATGGTACAATTATGTTCCCTAACTAAGGGAACACTTAGAAATAAAGGTACTGTGCAAGTACATTTTTTGTTTATCAAAGTACAAAGGTACAACAGTGGTTTTAAGGTCGAACAGCGGAAAAGTACATATTTGTATCTTTTCATAACCTAATGTTTTAAAACAGAACAATAAAATAAAAAGCCTGGAGACGAGACGGGGTGTGTGGAGTCAATACAACTTAGAAAATATAATTTCAAAGGATTATGGTACGGTTATGTTCCCTGACTAAAGGTGCTGAGATGTACCCTTAAGGGGACCACCCCAGTGACAAGAGGGTACTGCCCCTCAAAATTACACTGCTTTTTTCAACATTATACTGATGAAGATATGATGACAATAGTACATAATTCACTCACATCCTCAGAAGACACTTCCTTCACCAAGTTTTGACCAAGTACTCTGTGAGTGCTCTTTCAGCACATTCGCAAACATCAGATTCATCTGCTCTTGGGAGTCCAAAGCACAACCAAAGTTACACAGTGTTCTTCCACACGTTGCTTGTAATTACACATTTCAATGACAGAGGTCTCCAAATTCCCAAATGTTACATAGTGCAGTTTTAATTTTAATCCAGCATATGTATTTTGTGTTTGTGTAAAGCCCACTCCCAACAACATATACTTTCTTGTAAGTGGTCTATGTATGGTGGCTTTGGAACAAAACCCTTCATATATCCACATACTCAGCCTACAGCAGTTCAGCTCCGCCCACTCATGTTGAATTTCTGAAGAGCATTTCAGCCTGGACTGATGAGACACAACACAGGACAGCCAAGACACAACACAGGACAACCAATCAGAAAGGTCTTTTACACGCATCAATCTTAAAGGCATAGTAACAAAAACAACCTGTTGGAAAAAGTTGATTTGAAAAGATGATTTTTGACTGTTTTTGTTGCATAAACTCATACAAATGTTATAAATTGACCTACCATACTAGAAAAATGTAGGTTATGGGTTTTAATACTATGCCTTAGTTGACAGTATTTGTTAGCATAGCATAGTGTGTTAGCACAGCAGAGCTTTGGCAGAGTGTCAGGTTTTAAGTGGACGGCTGTCATGTCCTCCAGAACATTCCGGCCTTCATTCAGCCGTAGACAAAGCCCAGTGTTCACGGCTTGTACAAAACAAAGCAGACTCAAACAGTGGGTGTTCCAGGATATCAGCGCTTTCTATACTGAAGAAACATTTTCAGTACAGAACGAGATATCATTTCTAATGGACTGATCAGTTTTCTGACCTGTTTTCTAAGTTTTTATAACGGTTAAAAAGCGGTAAATCTAAAAAAATAAGTCTTCTTTGGGGACCATTTTGCCTTGCAACACCCTGCATGTACCCCATCACTATGACTAGGTTTTGGGCCAAAACATTTCTCAAAACCATCATAAAACAATGTCTTAAACATCAAGGCAGCATAATCATAACCATTTCATGTAATACCTTCCTGTGATGCAGCTTTTAGAGGCATTAAACTCGTTTGACATCTGGTTCCTACCACCTCCACTGTGAACTATTCCAGCTCTAGAACAGAACATTTCACATCAAACCATTATAAATGACTTGATGCTTACATCTCAACTAATTAATTATCAAGTATCAAGCTGGACAATTCCAGATGTAATGACATCGCTACTTATATCCGATGGAAGTGCAGTGTATTAGCTATCTATCCCCAAAAGCTTTCATGAGAAAGCTCAATTAGGCTTTAATCAGTCGTTATTGTACAGTCATTAATTTTAGTAGCAGGGTGTGATTAGCGGTCTGGGGTTTTCTTAATCAGGTTGTGTGTGTATGTGTGTGTGTGATGGTTTGTGTTCTGCAGGAAACTCCACTGCACACGGAATTACATCCACATGCACCTGTTTGTGGCCTTCATCCTGAAAGCCATCGCAGTCTTCATCAAAGACGTTGTGCTGTATGATGTGATTCAGGAATCAGACAACTGCTCCACTGGATCTGTAAGTTCATTAGTGTATATGGATATAATTTAAGTTATTTCTGCCTTTCAGTCCACTCTTCTTCATTAATAATGTGATTTTTCAATATAGTTTTTGCTTTTTTGGTATGTAAAGAACATAACAAATGTAACATTTGTAGATTTTTGTTGTTATTTGTGTCACAAACTACATTTTAGATTTTTTTTTACTTGAAATGCAACAGAGAACCATTTTTATTATTAAAACACTGCGCTTCCGACTGAATGTGCCGCAATTTACATTTTTTTTCTTTTGCTGTGTAAACAGAAATTTAACTAACCTTTGTTGTACATGGTTCTTCAAAGAAGCTTGAGTATTTGCTACAGTCCACACCAGAGTTTGAGTTTTTCTGACATTGTATCTTTTTAATTTGGTTCAGTTGGATTCGCATTGTCATGGTTGTATAGCATTGTGAATTCTGTTCTGAATGTATGCATCCTAGTGATGTGCAGGGGTACTCAAGTAACTGTTCCAGGTGCCAGCATTCAAATGCTGACATCACTATTCCAGTAATCATTTAATTTTACCAATTCAGGAAGAAAATATACAGGCCAACAACTTGCAATACAAGCACTGTTGAATTTTAAAAGGACTATAAATTGTGAAAGTTTTGCTATGATTAAGAAAGCATGTTACACTTCGCTTCAAACAAATGAGTGTCCTATCAAGTGTTGGGTTAACAATGTGATTGAAAAGGAAAAGATGGCGTGGCTGTAATCATGCTAATTACTCTAGCTGGCATTAGTTAGAACCAAAAACACTAAAATTCTCTTCAACTACTGAAGAGAAAAACCTTTCTGTAGACGAGTCATCACCATCTACTGCTGCACCGGTTAGCTCTCGTGTTAGTGTTAGCTCTTTAGCTAATTCAAGGCCACCTCTGTTACTCAATCACAGTGACAAAAAGTTACATTTATGCCATTTAGTAGACGCTCTTAGCCAGAGCTAAGAAGGGCTCGAGGTACAGATCCAGTTTTGACCACTGTCATCGGGTAGGGAGTAGCTGGTCCATTTTTAGCATTGTAGGCAAGCATCAGGGTTTTACATCTGATGCGGGTAGCTATAGGAAGCCAGTGAAGGGAACACAGCAATGGAAGGACGTGGGTCACATCTCCCTTGACAATTTTTGAATAACATACCCCTCTGTGAGTTGTCAACTTCTTTTGTGTACTGATTTTTCTTAATTTGCTAGAACCAGTGCCCCAGTTTACCTATTCGTGTATAAGTAATAAAGACGTGAGATTACCCTTTTTCCAAGAAGTAATAAATATATTATAGTTTAAAAGAAGTAATTAGCGATTTGTACTGGATTAGTGTTTTTGCCCTACCTGCAGTTAACCAAACATCTCGATTAACATTTATAGATACTCAAAACTCAAAATTAGTCATAGTATCTAACATTTAATGTTCCTTCAGAAACGTTTTTCCCTATTAACTTATTAAAATCTGTCCCCAGGGCATGGTCATCATGCATGTCCATGTTGGTCAGTAAAATGGATCAGCATATAGAATTGGAGCTTTCTGTGTACCACCATGTTTTCTGTCAATGCATAAAAGAAGCTCCATGCTGCCTTTATTGTTGGTTCACTTGATATTTTGAACATATTTGCCTTATTTAATTTAAGCCACCTTAAAAATAAGAGATACGGAAAGATCCTTTCACCCTCACTGCTTTTAATGTCTTCTGTGAAAGTTTTAGACAAAAAATAGCAAGTGCTGCACTGTTCTCAACACCTTCTGAGTGTCAAAACATTTATTCCATTTATTTTACATGACAGCTGCTCCCACAGTTGTTGTTTCTGGCCTTCGAGAATTTCCCCTGGCCTCTTTTCCCCTTCCTTTTGTCTTCCCTCTTCAAGTCCATTAATACCAAATTGCTTAATGTCACTTGAGCTTGGGGTCATGTTTGAGCCAGCGACACCAAAAAGCTTTGTGCCGAGCTACAAAAACAAATCTGAGCAATATTTAGACTTGCGTTTAACATCACATTTGCATCTGTAAACAGCATCAGTGAGATTCCTGCTGGCAGAGTGGAAGTGACACAGGAGAGCTGTGAGAAGACCCAGCTGCTTCAGCAAAATCACAGATGAACTTAAGAGAGGAGGCCAAACGTCTGAAATGGAAACATATGCCTCCTTATCGCTGTGTGGGACGAAGCTGCTAGCTTGTGCGTACTGTGGTGCTGGAATACTCGTCCAGCTCATGTTAAATCTCTCAAGTTGTCATTAGAGATAATGGCATAGGTGAGCCAAAGAACTGTGTTTAATAGTACAGTCTGTAAAACAATTCCAATCACTGCACATGAATTGTTATTAACCCTTAGGAGTCCCAGTTATCTGATGATGATAAAAGCATGTTGTACAGTGGAATGCAATTTGAGCACCCTGGTCAAGTTACATATTTTGTTGATTTTTTTTTAAGAGAAAATAAGTTAACACAATGTGACCTTTGCAAAAGTTATGGCACATTTTATATTTTATGTATTTGTTTTCAGTATGTTAAACTCAGCACGTAAACAGAAATTGAAAATAGAAATAGTGCAATAAAATTGTCAGTAAAATGCCATAATTAAGTGTGTTCCCTGTAGAGGATGTGTTGCATTATTTTCACTTAGAAACTCAACAAAACATGTAATTTGACTCGGCGTGTTCAAACTTTTTCCTATGTCTGTAAATAACATACATATTGCTACACCCACAAATCTGTTCTTTCATGGCAGGGCTGTTTAACCAAATACAACTACGTTGGTATTTCTATTCTCTACATAACGATGAATTTTCAGTTTTAAATGCTACCCTACCAAGCTGGATTACAGTACTGTGTAAAAGTCAGAGAGCACAATTCATTTTATAAAGTTCCAGTCAAAACAGCCATGAAGCACAATGAATTCATTTTGCAGCATCAGGAGAAAAAAAGGCAGAAAGCATTTACCAAGAAATTACACAGAAGCCTCAACAAATAAACATAATTTTTCTCCAGTATTAAATGTGCCTCCTCTTTGCTGTTATTACAGCTTCCATTCTTTTCAGTTTTTCAAAGAGTTCCATCTTTTATTTTTGCTTCTTCCCATCCAGTTAATCCAAACACATTCAATGATGTTGAGGTCTGGACTCTGTGTCTACTCCTTTGGGAACGGCTGTAACTTGAAGTATTGGAGGCTTATGTATAGTTTTCTGTTATATATATGTGCCTTTTTGTTGACACTGAGAAACATTTTTTTTTGGTTTTGACTGGAAATTAAAGATCTGAAAGGTTGGTCTCTGAATTTTGCCAAGCACTGTATGTTGTAGATTATCAAAATTAGGCTGGCTGGCTGGAATTAACAGCAAATTTTTCACCATGCCAATGTTACCTTGATTACACAACAAAAAAGTCATCCACTCTATCCTAACAGTCCTTTGATGCACCTTTCAACTTTTGGGGGTCTGTAAAGCTTGGCCACCCTAGCAACCTTTGCTGTAAAAGAACGCAATTTTGGATGGAGCACTGATAGGCCAGTTGTATATTTATTTACTTCAATATTTGCATAATTTAGTATAAATTATTTTTCACTCATTGTTGATTTTAACAAACAGGAATTCTGTTGAGTGTGGATTCTACTTCATTATAATTATGATTTAACAGAAAAAGTGACTAAAGAGCTGCAGGCGAAAATATGTCCTTTACATTTTTGCTAGTTTTTTGTCCTTTCATGTTATCAAAACAAACAAAAATGTCTGACATACTAGGAGATAGTAATTTGTATGTAAATGGAATTCCTAATGTATCTAATTATGTGATAAATTGTGTAATTATTAATTGCATTTAAATAGCAGTAAAAATTACAATAATAATTTAATTCTAATTGTTAATAATACAGTCTTTCACTGAATACACATGAATTGTTATTAACAGAATTTAAACTCTGAGAAACGCCAGTGACAGGTTATGTGTAGAGCTGTCCTGCGATGTTTATCAGTCCCTTATGCGGTCCACCTGGAGCTCACGTCATTATAAAGAGCATTATAAAACAATCCATTACCCAGGGGGTTGAACCATGAGTTCATATTAAGCACATGATAAAGGGCCATCGAGAGGCCCGTCTGATTCATTGAGAGGGGACGTGTTTCTGCTGTGTCTGTGGCCTTGCCTCCAGCCAAAGCTTTTAATCCATTTCAGCAAGCGAACCTGCAGCAAGAGGCTATGTTTCGGCTAGGCTCTCAGAGCAATTTCAGATGATTTGTGCGCATTAGAACAACAGACAGGGCCCATTCAGCTGGTGCTGCCCTATTTCACTTTCCCAATGCAGAAAGCATCAATCAGTTTCCATGCTGTTCTATTCTTCTGTGAAAGTTTTTGCGCTGCTGTGTGAGACATTCGTAATTAGAATGTAGCAGAGAAACTGGGAGCTGTACGTGAGTTTTCCTCTGATTTGGCAGAGCTGCATCCAGCTCTGGAGGAAGAGATTTGATTGACTTGGGCTGAGTACGAAATAATTACGCTTCAGTAGCTGTGCTCAGCTGTCTTACAGCATCCATGTTGTTTTGAACTGCCTGATCTCATCTATATGGTTTCTGTTCATATTTTATGGCAAGAGATTGAGCATCATAATTAAATCATTCCACAGAAAGATGGATATTCGGTGTTTTTATCATGACGCCATGTCTTTGCCCCGTTCATACTTTTCCTTTTTCTGTCTCTGTTTACTCCTCTGTATTTCCGTTTTGTCATGCAGTTGGTTGCTTACTGCACTTTTCTTTGTCCATGTATCATCACCGGTCCTCTCTGTCCTACTACCTGCTAATACATCTCTAAAAAAATTTGGGGGAGATATTCATTTTTCCAAATCGCTGCTGTGGCTTTTTTTAAAATACCCTAAAATATGACATTGTGGTTCATATTCAACAGATGAAACACTTCAGTTTGAACGACTACTAAAATGTGATCTTCATTTAAGTAATACAAATAAATAGTTTTAAAGGGTCACTGGCCAAAATGAAAAATGTAACCATTGATACATCTGTTGTAAACATGCCCGCTCGCCTCTTACGGCATTTTTCACACCTGAAAGTCGGGACCAGGGTCCAAACCAAGGTGTTTTTGTTACACTGTACACATTCACATTGTATACAAGGGTTAGTTTTGGTTTCACATTGCAATTTAGCGAGCACACTAAAACTTTGCATGACGTACCTACGTCCTGCCGTCATCACCTACATGGGCTGCGTCTCTTTAAATTTGACATTGGTTTGTGGAGGAGTGTGCGTCTGGCGTCAGCATGATGTCAGTTCGGCGGGTAGCCTTTTCCGTTTGATTTGAGAAAAATTATGACCTTTTCGTCAGACCAAATCACAATTAAATATTTAGTTCCTCCTCTCAATGTGCTACCGTGGCTCATGGTTCAGTTTGATCTGGTTTGATTTTGGTTGGACCAAGTTTTGGTCCTTTGGTCCAGACCAGGGTCCAAGGCACCTTTCACACCTGCTATTTTGAATTGGACCAAACTGAAAAATCTGAAGGTCTGGATCAAACAACGTAGGTGTGACAGCTCCCTTAGAGTGAGGTTTTCCAGATTTGAAAACCCGTTCTGATGATGTATCTTGAAGATGGGAGAAATGTTTAAAAACTACAAGCGCACTTGGGTGGATACATGACAGCTGTATTGAATATGAATTTTTTTTTAATTGTTTTTTTCCTACTAGCTGGCCAAAACAGAGGAGGAGAGGTAATGTTACTACTACAAAGCCAACTATCACATCTATATTTATTAGCCTCTATGTAACTGCATTTCTTTATCACTATGGGGGGATTCCCGGTGGTTACTGGTATTTGTGTAATGCATGGTGTGTATTGTAGTGAGAGAACACTAACGGACAAAAATGCAAAAAGAACACAGACCTGTAAATTCTGTCAAACCGATGAGGCTCTGGGATGCAATACTAAGCTACAGAATAGTACATAACACAGCAAATAATATTAAATGATAGTTTTACACTGGAATGCTTCTTTAATGAACAGCACACACAACATTTCAAATTACCATCTTAATGGGTAAAGCGCTGGCCACAGTCCCAATGATGAATGCTGTGGCATGAGCTAAAAGCAGGATGCTGAAGCAGAAACATCCAGAAAATGTACATGAACAAAGACAGTTTTGTATTATCTAACTTGATATCTGGAATTGTGTACATTTTTCTATATAGAGTACTATTTTATGCAAGCGAATGAATCCATAGGAACAGACTGAGACTGAACAAATGTTTCAGACTATTTCTACCGTTAAATCTGCTTTTCTCCCTTAATCACTTATGATTGATGCTGGATTTATTTTGCTAAGTAAATGTGATTCAACTAGCTGAAAATTCATAATTTTTATTTTATTTGCTACAAACTAAACAAGAAAACACATGAGTTGGATCATAGTCACATCAGTCACGTTTAATCGTTACTCTGATTAAACAAATCAATAATAATCACTTACAAATTGGAGTTCTGCTCTGAACTTGTTCATGTAAGTGGAAAAAACAGAGGGCATCCAACAATAAAGGAAGCCTTGTGCATCTTTTATATAGTGATGAAACGCTGTAGCAAACAGAAAGCTCAGGTTGTATATGCTGACATATCACTCTGGCCAGCATGAACATGCAATGTTTTTTAAACTTGAAAAAAGGTTCTTCACTCACACATCTCATTTACAAAAATGGATCTCTAAAGAACCTTGCACTGAAAGGATCTTTAGAGAACCAAAAATGATTCTTCTGTGGCATCATGTAAAGCATCTTTTATGGCTCCTTTATTTTTAAGAGTGTTATGTATGTTCGGCTTGTTCAGAAACTGCCAGTGCAGATTATTAATAAATACTGAGTTTAAGATTTCTGTCCTTGGTAATAATTTAGTGCTACAGTTTTTTGAAGTTAACAAAAAAGAAAATCACAAACAACAGTGCCCAAGTGCGAAAAAAATGTAAAAAAAAATAATGGCTGAGGATGTTGGATTTTATGGCACATATTGTATCCTACATACTGTAATCTTTTTAGAAAGTTTCTTTTATATAAATTGTTTTTATTTATTGTCTTTTATTGTATTTATTGTTTTTGTCTTCAGTTTTGACCCAGTGTGTCCTGAATTTTAGTTTTAGCCAAGAATTCTCATTTTGGTGCATCACTAACATTAATGTAACAAGATATTATTCTGGGTAATTTTGGACAGTTTATACTGGACCATCTGTCATGAAATGCTCAGAAAAAGTTTCAAAAGGTGTTAATAATAAACAAAAAGTCTTGTAAAATGTTGACATGACAGCAACGATATATTACTTATAGTTCCACTGAGTGACTGCTGTCCCATTAAGACAGCTGGGACACTAACGTCGTTATATTTGAATACTCTTTCAGGAAGCATCACAAACACTGCACTGACATACCCGAGTGGCTAAATTAACTTTGGGGAATTTGTGCTGTGGAAATGTAGCTTGAAATGTTGAGTCATCCAGGCGGAATGAGGCTGAGCTTGTCATCTTTCATGGCTGTCTTTACATTTACTTAGCAAAGAAGCTCAGTCACCTTAGCTTTCCTCTTCTTACATCTCCATGACTAATTTAGAGCTGATACAAAGAACATGATGGAAAAGGTTATTATTGGAACGAACAGATTCATTCACAAAGTTCTGTGTTGGATTAAAATCAGTCACTTTGAACCTAAAGTTTAATTAATTGATAACCTTTGTGCTAAAACCCTCTGTTCTGAAATGAGTAGAATGTGGAACTTTAATTTGCAGGGCATTTTGACATTTATGCCTTAATGTTGCCAAACAGATCAAATGGAACTAATTATTTTGTTTTGTTTTTCCAGTCATGGCATTTCCATATGCAAATTACAAACTCTAATTCTCATATTGTCTTGTGTATTATAAATGTAGCTAAAAGTATGAAATGTACTGATTATCATATGTATCATTTTTGATTTATCTATGTTAATATTTTGTCTGCTCAGTTTCTAATCAGAGATGCCTCTTTCCACAGATATCGCTTTTTACACAGTTTTACAGTTGAGCTGTGTTAACTCATATTGTTGCATGTATTATCAACATATTTGTGCATAGGCCTAAACGATATGGACATAAAATGCAAAGTTGTATATTTTGATGATATGTGAAGCTCTGATTCTAGGTGTATAGACCTTTTTGCTGTGTAGTTTACACACAACTCTAAGATTGAGAATAGTCCTCACACTTAAAGTATCATCACAGTATTTAAAGACAGAGTAGTTTTTCAGCTGCGTGTAATTTGCAGTTGGCTGTATAGCAGAGTGGTTAAGTCACTCGCTCTGTCTGCGGGAGACTGGGGTTTCCGCCCAGCTTAGAAGAGCATGCCATTGCTCAAATATGAGACAAGGCTTCTAAAATATAATCTAATTACATCTCTTCCTCACTGCACATGTATAATGTATTGTGATCCGTTTTGTCATTGCGGCCCTTAATAACGCATTTCTAAATTTGATAACACTAAAAATATGATTAACTATGCAGCCCTATTTGCGCAGTAATTAGTGGGACCACATAAAAAGTTGTACGTGAGGGTTTGATTGGCTCGGAATTTAGCTTGGAAAGTTTAGACTTCATTTCCTTGCCATCTCTTGATTATGGGAAGTGTGATTTTATGAGTATTCACTGTGTCTTTTCTGCTCTTTGGTGAAGAAAATTACCAACAATCTGCTGTGAAGAGGAGTCTGTGATTTGCTCCCATCACAGGTTCTGTTTCTTTTGTTTTTCAGGTCGGCTGTAAAGCTGTCATCGTCTTCTTCCAGTACTGCATCATGGCCAGTTTTTTCTGGCTGCTAGTAGAAGGCCTCTATCTTCATGCTCTATTAGCTGTCTCCTTCTTCTCAGAGAGGAAGTACTTCTGGTGGTACATCCTGATTGGCTGGGGTGGGTAATCAAAACTGTCTGTGAATTTGATTTGTAAGGTGCAGTAGGGTTGGTGCATATTTAATAGCAAATGAAGTAGAGCTATCACTATGGATTGTATCAGCAAACGAGTAATCTACCAATTATTTTGTGATCGAGTAAATCGTTTTACAAAAGACCATATTATAAAAATATACTTAACTGAACAAATGCAAACCATGCAGAGCCAAATTCGAAATTCCAAAATGCTTTACTCAAGAAAGATTAACCAGAAAGGCCTTTCAAGAAGAGAAATGCAATTAAACAAGTGTGACTATCAAGCTGTTTCTTACTACAAAGGCAGTAAGAGAAATTAAAATATACAATATCATAAAACAAACTACCAACTTATCACTGCCGATTCATCAACTTTAATCTACTGATTGTGACAAACGTAAAATAAACCTAAAAAAGTATGTTTGAGGATCTCACTACGTTCCAAAATACAGACAAGCACACTTTATTTATCGTCTAACTCATATTCAGCCATGGGGCTCCTTCCAGTGTTTATCAGCAATGCCAGATTGGCAGCTTATTAGCCTTATTTTCCTGTAGACGTACTTGCTTGGTATTGAACACTGAGTTGAACACTGAAAAATGCTATGGCTCTGCCAAATCAACAGTGTGGCCTGCTGTTGCATCATTACAGTAAACTGTTCCAGTAGTTACCGATGTCTAATGACTATACAGCAATATCTTAATGAAACAGCTTGAAACCTCCCTTTATTTCATAACCTTCCTGTTAGCTTTTCAGTTTGGTAGCTGTGATTATTACTCAGTCACCTACTGAAATAATGATTGAAACGCTCTCTTATTCTTTATGTCTGTAGGAGGGCCAATGATATTTATCACAGCCTGGAGCTTTGCCAAAGCCTATTTCAATGATGTTGGGTAAGCTAACACTTATACCACGCTCTTCCATTTCCGAAAGAAATTCACTAGGTGTTCCAGGGAAATTCCACTGCTTTTTTTTAATTCATTCATTTTAAATGTAGTCATTCACAGTGGTGTGATGTGAAAAAGGTATGCAAAAATGTAGAGAAGCCAACGATTCTGTGTACCATCCAAAATGACCAATGAATGAATATAAAAATATAAATACATATGTTATATATGTTATGTTGATAATGGTAAAATAGTGGTAAATTAGATGCAGACAGGTGTTTGGGTACTGTTTTGCCTTACATACCCTACATGTACCTCTCCACTATGAATGGATTTAAAAGCTTTTATCTTGAAACTATTTCATCATGCATTGAATTTGTAACCATTTAACGTAATAATTTTCATAAACAGAGCTTTTATAAGCATTAAACACTTCTGGTTCCCATTACCACTGCGAACAATTCTGACTCTAGAATGTCACATTTCACATCAAACCACTCAGTGACTTTGTTCATGATTTAATTATGTAGAAATCTGTGAAATTCTCCTATAGATTTAAAAAAGGTTTCATTCTAACTCAGTAGGATTCACCTAAGTTCAATATTGGCCTTTATAAATATATGCTATTAAATATCAGAGCTGATAGTGGAAACGGTCTAAGGTCATGCTAAATCATCCATAAATACACTATTTCATTTTTCCCCGTCAGGTGCTGGGATATCATAGAGAACTCTGACCCATTCTGGTGGATTATCAAAACACCTATATTAGCTTCTATACTGGTAAGCTCACACTCTTTCATGGTGGGAACAGAAAGCAATTTTCTGTGCTCAGTATAAGGTTATAATTTGACATGGTAATATTAGCAAGGTGCAGTTTATATTAAATTATCTGTCATTCACTGGTGACTATAGAGACTGGTCCAGTCTCTGTCTGTTGTCAACTTGTCCTCGGGTGCGCGATGCATAATTGAGTTCCATATTTCCCTCAGGACATAAATATGAACACATTCAACAGAGTACCTGAATGACAATAACTGTTTATTGATTTCTCTGCGGCTGTAATAGCGGCCGTGATGGACAAGGGTCAGCGTGTCTGGTGTGTTGGAAAAGAACAAGGAGACTGCAATTATAGATAAAGCCTTCAAATAATGTTCTTATAAACTCTTATCTGAAAGGTTTATCTGTTCACAAACACATGCAGTTACTACTGCATACTTTTTTTCTGACATTGTTTTTTTGCACAATAAGTCTGAAGTCATAGTTAGCACTAAGCCTGTAAATCTTTTTTTTAGATTCAGTGAACCAAGAAACAAAAAAATTAACCACAATTTGATTCATTTTTTATTTTTACTATTTTCAATACAGTATTGAATTGAAAAAAATAAAAAAAATTTAAACTCTCACTGATGCATGTTTCAGCCTCCTCTGAGCATCTCTTCATCTTTATCTATCATCTTTTGTATAAACCACTGATTATCAAAACTAGGCAACTCTATATATTTGTGTTGTTTATTGCTCAGTTGAACACAGTTATAATATGATACATTTTTGCACAAGGACATTTTCTGAGCCAAACCAATCTGTGTATGTAATTAGAGCTCTGTCCTTTTACCATTAAATTGTCCTTTTAACATTTAACATCTTCCCACTGGTATCTTAGGGTAGGCAAAATGGCAAAAATATAACATCACAATACTTGACAGTGTCAAATTTAATGTGTTAATATTGTGTTAACACAAAGTTATTAAAATTGTATTGAATTATTTAATTATTAATTATTAAAATTATTCTGTCCACTCAAACAATATACACTACTTTTTAAATTGAAAACATCTCCCTTTAGGGTCAAACTTAAAAACTTTTAACAGTTTTAAAGCATGCTGTTTTTTTTTGACGTTTGTGAACAAGATGAAACAGAGAAAATATCCTAACAAAGCAGTACAGCTAGAAGAACAAGAATAAATAATGAGAACAAATGGTAAAAGTAAATGAATAAAATTAAATGAAGTCATAATGTGCCAGCATCAAATCAGCTACTTGTTACTGTACAGTTTATGCAGTCATTTTTCAGTGATGTTGTTGTTGTATACAGGCTCTCTATAACAGGTCTATATCTTAGTCTAAAGTTTTTTTTGTGATCCATGCAGTTCAGTGATCTAAAAGTACTGATGATCCCCATCATATACTCAGAAAAGCATATTGTGATGTAATTTATCATAACAATAACATTGGCATATTGCCTCCCCTAATTATTACATTGCAAAATAGTCAATATTTCATGCAAGCCATGGTGCAAAGGAATGAGGTGGATATGTATAAAAATAGCCCAGGAACTTTATTTGGTCCAAAATATTCAGTCGTATGCAAAAGTTTGAGTGCCCTAGTCAAATTACACGTTTTGTTGATTTTCTAAGTAAAAATAAGTTAACACATCCTCTACAGGGAGCAAATTTAATGATGCCATTTTTATGCAAATTTCAGGGCACAATTTCTATTTCTATTTTAGTTTAACATATTGGAAAAAATAAAACATAACATATAAAATATCCCATAACTCTTGCATAGGCTAAATTTTATGTTATATATTTTTCCCCAATATGTTAAATTCAGCTAATAAAAAGTCATTGTGTTCTGTGGATGATGTATACAAATTTTCACTTAGATAATGAATAACATGTATTTTGACCAGGGGCACATAAACATTTGCGTACGAGTGTACTTAACTGAATATTATTAGAATAAATTATCATGGCATACATTTTTATACCCCAGGTTTGCAGCATATTCAGAGAGCAAATTTTTGCCTGTTTGCGGAATGGATTGGCACAGTTGTGTGCTGGACTGAGACAGGTTTGTTTGCGACAGATGTGGCTGGCTCTCCTGAGACCAGGTCATACATGAAATATCAATAAGGACAAAAGTGTGAAGAACACCTTCACACTGAGCCTCCAGCAGGGTGGCAGAAAGAGACAGAGAGAGAGCGTGTGCGAGAGAGAGCAAGTGAAAGTGGGAGAGTAGAGCAAAGAGGAGAGTTTGAGAGACAGATGCAAAAACAAACCTGCTTCTGCCTCGCTGCATTACAAGACACTGATCTAACTCATCCTGAAAGCACATTGGAAAATTATAACCACTGAAAAACAAACATCATAAAAAAGGGCCAGGATTGACACAAGCACAACACAAACATCATCCTGCTCTCTACAACAATGCTAAACTGGCTGACAGGCGAGGGCTATTGACCAAAAATATTGACCATAGCTCTGTTCACATAGTATGGCCCCTGGAATTGGCCGCCATAGCAGGCTGAACAAGAGAACAATCTGTGTTTTCAGATTAATGGAGACAGAGCTGCACATCCTGACAGCCACAGAAACACAATACTATGAGGATTCATTTAGATTAGACAGTTCTGAAACACAGAGCACTGTGGGTTTGTAGACTCTTGCCAAGAAGTGAGGCGCTGCTTAATAGGGTGGTAAAAAGCATCTATAAAGCAATAACTGCTTTTATAATACTGTGAAAACATACAATTGTACAAAATGTTCAATAAATAACTGAACTTATTGTTACTAATAATCACAATAAACAATTCTTCTGCCAAGTAATGCAGTTCATTTAGAGTAATGCCAGGTAACCTCTGAGTGCTGTAAAAAGACAAAAACTTCAAGGTGCCACACTGGGCACTGCTTATCCCAGATCTACCAAATTAATGGACATGTGAAGCTTGTAAGACATTGAAGTAACATATTCTTTATGTACTCTTTCCTTTGTATATCTGTATTCTTTTAATTATATGTTTGACAGTGAATCCTTCAGTAAATATTTGAGCCTAGTTAATCAGCTTAGTCCTAGTAGTAATAAAACGGTATAAACATAATTCAGTTCAGAATTGTTTCGAGGTGATCAGGTGTGCGTATGTTGAATATTTTACAGTGGATTCAAACACAGCCCAGCCAATCAGATTTCAGGACCAGAACTATCCATTTTACAATGATGCACAGCACTGTGCAAAAGTCAGGGACTTTCACTTCATTCAGATCTTCATTTATTTAATTTCCAGTCAAAACTGTCATTAAGTACAAGTTATTCAGAAATTATATATTTAACAGAAAATTACACAGAAGCCTCAAAACTATACATTTTCATTCTTTTCAGGAGACTTCTGTTTTTTCATCTGCAGGGATATTTTTCCACACCTCCAAAGTTCAGTCTTAGAATTTTCTGCTTCTCACAATCCAAGTAATCCCAAACACATGCAGTGATGTTGAGGTCAGGACTGTGGGGTGGTCAGTCCATTGTTCTGAAAACACCAGCAGCTACTTTGTTTGATTTGCAGATGTTCTTTTTTGTCTCTTGTTTCAGAAACTCCTGTTTTTCATCTCCTTAGAGGAATACCTCCTTAGAAATATCTCCTGAAAAATGAATACCTTGTACTTAACGGCTGTTTTGAGTGAATATTAACTAAATGAAGGGGGGGTCTCAGACTTTTGCACTGTACTCTATGTACTAATTTTTAAGCCAAAGTAAAACGCTAAAGCTACTTTCAATAGTTCCTCCAATTACATGTGTGTAATCAGTGTATTTGTAAGAATAATTATAAAACCATACCAAAATCAAATAAAATCTTGGTGAAATCTGAAATTTCATGATGTACTGAATCAATTCCAAAAGCATCATAATCAAATTTGATCATTTACACTCTTACTCCCAACTATAAAAGACTTAACAAGTCAACTGTATGGTACAAAAAAAGCAAGTAATGTTAGAAAAAATGTATATAGAAGTAATTGTGTGTATATGAATAAGATTTTTACAATTACCAATTACCACTTTGGTACCAGTCACACACTCATGCCTTAAATCATACACGCAGTCAAAAGCTTTAACTATCCTCATCATCCAGAGCAGGGTAGGAGAATGGTGGGGGTGTGTGGACGGCCGCATTTGGAAAATCAGCCTTATGTTTATGCACATTTTATGATGTCTACGCTGTGCACTCTCCAGCAAGCGTGTAATCTGCGGGATATGCAAGGATGGAATAGATGCTGCCCACACACACCCTTACTCACCGAGAACAGTAAGGAAAAAGCTGTTACATGTACATTGCTGAAAGAGAGGCCATTAGCCCTGTATTCTCTATATGTGCCCCCGTTGCTATTGTTTTAGGGTCTCAGTGCTGCCTGTACCTCCACTAATAGACTGCAGCCTTAGCTTTTGCTGAGCTAACATGAGTAAACACTTTATGCTCCGAGTGGTCCATTAGTCTAGCAGTCTCCCTGTAATTTATAGAACATGACATTAAGCTAGAGAACGCACAAATGACACTGTTGTTTTGTCCTTTGCTGACAGATGAACTTCATCCTGTTTATTTGTATCATTCGCATACTGCGGCAGAAGATCAACTGCCCTGACATCGGGAGGAATGAATCCAACCAATATTCGTGAGTGCCTTGTCTGCTATCTCTGACATTTTTCAGTAGTTAACCTTTGAATGTTAATATTTACATCATTTATTTCAGTAACTCGCCATACAATTACTAGGGATGCCCCTGACAGGAATTCTGGGCCACTTTTTCATGTTCTTATCTGCTATTGCTGATATGTAAACATGGTAGAAGGGTCTACATTCACCAGGATTAGCATTAAAGAGAAATATACATTATATTAAATATAGTTCAATATGATTTATCTCTGTTGGGTTACAAATGCATTTTAGTGCAGTATTACAGCATCTCCTAAATATTCTTTTCTTCCAGTTTACAATAACATCAAATATTACTTTGAAATATTGGTCAAATCTAAAACATGTGTCTGATGCCAATAAATATTTTTAAGGAAATTATATGCTGATACCGATATGCATCACGTATCACTAATAATTACAGAATTTTATTGTACAGTGTGTGCATATATATATATATATATATATATATATATATATATATGTATATAAATTCAGATTACACAGCTAAAATCAAGCTTCTGGTTGCGGTTACTTTCATACTTTCAGAGTACACCGACAGGACAAACACAAACAAACATCAACATTCTAATGTTTGCAGTTGTCCTTAGAATGTTCAAAAAAAGAATTTACAAGTAAAATGAACTAAGTGAATGGGTCTGAAGTCTTGCAGCAATCAGACGGGGCATGGCACACCAACCAAACATTTGTGTTTGTCCTGTCGTGTACTCTGGCCTTTAATCAAGCAAATTCACGAACCTCTGAAGAGTGAGCCAATAAAAAACAAGGTGAGCTGTGGTCTCTTCTGTCTGAAAAAAACGAAATGGAGGAACTGCTCCTCAGTTAACATAATGTCATTTGTCACTTATAACTGCAAACAAATAATCGAATTAACTAGTTAGCGTTGGCTGTTCAAAGAGCTATTAATTCCCCTCAAAACGACACCATATCAGTATCACCCATACTCGCCAGATTTGTGCTGCACCGCAAACAAAAAGAGGCCACTGTCCAGTGTGACTGCAGCTTTAGCCTTGGATAATACATTTAGTCTCAGGTTAATTACCACAAGCCCCATGCTACATGTGTTTTTCAGAGAGCGCTAGTGGGGTGTTTTCATGGGGGCTTCAGCACTGGCTAGCACCCCCATAGCGATGTGCCTTGATTTGTCCATCTGATTAGCTCTCCGGTCGCATTGGCACTAGGATGAGACACAAATAACATTCAACCCATCCAGAACTAAAGTTGAGCAGTTTGAGGATTGGTTGGCAGAAGAAGTGCAAGCCTATGAGCATTTATCCATTCCTTCTTTAGTGATAGTGAGTATTCATTCTTGGAGAGAGAGAAGGAATGTGAGAAATTTCCTCTTCACTTTCTGTACATTCTAGTTTGGACACTGCACAGGATCACATTATGTGGAAGTATGTTTAGGGTTAATGCATCTTCTGTGCATCTTCTGTGCACTTCAAGGTCCACTCATAGGGAAGAGGACAAGAAATTTTTGAAACCTAACATGTAAAGGCCCTGACCTCCAAAGGCACAACGAACTTGCGTAGTCCTTGATCAGGACTACACAGTGAAGGGATACATAGGAAGCATTTTAGCTTACGTAATTTTAGTGCAAGGCGCGAAAAGAAAAAGGCATTTCTGGTCCTTTTCCAGCACCCAGCGGCAAGGGAAGGCTCGTTGCACTACATTCTCATCTCTGTAAATGTCAGTGGCTCATGCCACAGCTATCCACATGATTTAATGTCCTTTGTCCTTAAGTAGCTTTCTGTGATGCAGCACTCATGAGCCTGGCTACTTAAAGCCCCTGCAATTTCATCCCATCACTGCTGATGTTGTTATTACAATATTACATATTCTGTCTCCACACCTGATAATAACACACACTGCTTTGGAAGGCAGCCCTGGCCCGCTAATGCCTGCAGGTTACAGATGAAAGAAATTTCTCGCCTAAAGCCCTTTGTTTGTTTTTTTTTCATTTTCGCTCCACAGGAGGCTGGCTAAATCGACGCTGCTGTTGATTCCGCTCTTCGGGATAAACTTCATCATATTCGCCTTCATTCCAGAGCACATAAAAACCGAGCTGAGGCTGGTGTTCGATCTCATCCTGGGGTCATTCCAGGTATGAGCTGTTTTTCCAGGCTTTTCAAGCACAAAGCTGGATTCCAACACATATGAGATGAAATGAGAAACCCTCAGGATGATCCCACAGTTACGAAAAAAGAACTGTAGTAATACACTACGAAACTATATGATTTCTAGTTTTTAGTATTCTGTATAAAGCTTCAATAATAATCTATAATTAGAGATGGCACTAATCCAACACTGGCTATCAGCAGAAAATGCTGAATGGGATATCGTTGGGGAAAAGAGAAAGAATCCAATCCAATCCTGCAACATCACATATAACAAATACACTATCAGAAGACACATGTAGGTTCACAGGTGGTTTTGGGGTGTAAATAAAATAGGTACATTTGTGTAGTAGACATTGCAACCTCTGATTCCTATTACTACCACTATAAAGTAATCTAAGGTGGCAGGTTTCTCTACAAAGAATCATTTCACACCAAACCACTTTGAATAAATTTGTTGAGATTTCAGTGGCTGAATTTTGTAGGTTTTTGCGTTTTTCTTGGCAAAATCTGCTGAATTTCCCTTTAAGTGAAGTATATAAATTAAAAATAGCTCATTTTAAAGCTGGGTAGTTTTTAAAGAAAAAATATAGCGCAAAACATTTAAGGTTTCCATAACAGTATCGGTATTGGAAAAGAAAAAGTGGTATCATACCATCACCGCTATAATACTTCCACCTCTATTATTCATGTTGTACTGTCTTATAGTAATCTATAATACTTGTTTAGTAAACTGTAGCAATTGTCCCAGTTCGCTTTAAGATTCTCATATGAATAAGGGCACGTTTGTCTATGGTACCTATCAGGCCTGCACGACAGAAAAAAAAAAAAAAATCACATTAGTGATATCATTATTGTCATATTGTCAATAAGATATGCCTTACACATTTAAACCACAATGGTGTACTTTTGATGTGTGTTGATTAAAGACAGGCATTAGTTCTTTAAAATTATTTGTTAAAGCACAGAAATGCATGAATTCATAGAATACTCATTTAAAATGTGAGATTTAGTCAGGATACTCACACGTATCACATATGGTATCGTTCAAAGTATTACAATAATTTCTGCAAGTCTTTTCAAGTTGTTAAATGAATATATTTATCTACATATTTAACTTTATTTTAGTTACGTGCCTTGAGATTTGTAAATATGGCGTATATACACCTGCACCATATCACGATGCCCTAGTCCAGATCATCTCTTGATAGAAATGTTTGAAGCCTCACTTCACAAGTGTGAACTGTAAATATCTCAGTTTGGCACACCTTGGCTGCACTCCAGATGCATTTGTTTCCTGATTTCACTCCTCTGTTTCTGTTTTCGACTAAGCTAACTGAGCACAGGGTATAATTAGGTCTGGTTCAGGCAGAGCCTCCAGACTGGCGGGCAGCGCTGCAAGTGTTGCATTCTGGGAGGCCATGTGTCCCCTCAGTCAAATCAGCTTATTGTCTGTTTCAGGAGTCGTAGAGGAATAGCCTCCCATATTCTAATTACATTGGGTCACAGTCATGTCCCATGAATAAATGAACTGGCAGGCGTCCCCAGCCATCTAGCACGGTGTAATTAATGTGCGCAGTCCTCGAGAGGCGGCGCTGAACGAATGAGCTTGTAACGACCCTCCTTGATACAAGTATAAATAAGATGTCTTTACTCTGCTTACAGGGCTTCGTGGTGGCCGTCCTTTACTGCTTCTTGAACGGAGAGGTAAGTGACTGGTCTGCATTTTTTATTAAAATGTAAAAATAACAACAAAAAAGACAAAACAAAAAACTTGTAGACTTTGATAAACTGCTACTTTAACAAGCTCAGAGGCAAGCAGCTTTGGGCCCAATCGGGGATAAAGTCTACCCGCTCTTGCTAATCTTGTCCTGAAGGTCTGTAGGGAAGCGTGTCAGCATACTCTGAGCTCTACTTCCCTCATCGTTCTTCACTCCAGCTCCTGCTATCATTTAGTAGCTCTATAAATTCACTAGCCAGGAAAGCCATGCTGGAAATAGCTGTGCTGTCAGTGATGCCCTTACCCTTCGCTAAGGCAGAAAAGTGCCTACTTCTGCCTTAATCTGCTCTTCTCCTTTAATAAGGTCGTTGCATTTATTTTGATATATTCAGAGCATAATCTAACAAAGCTGAAAAAAATATTTTGAAAAAAAATATTCTGAAAAAAAAGGTTTTTTATAGTGTGTGTATCACAAACCACTTTGAGCATCAAAACAAATGTACAGGAATATATTTCACACTGACAGCTCCAAGGAACCTGAATACATTTTTCTTTGTTTTCTTTCTAATTAGGTTAATCTTTGCTATTTTGGGATCCAATTTTTAAGCTGTGTGCTATAGTATCTATATTTATATATCTTGTTTTTTCATTCAGATTGTGCTTGATGTTTAATACAACACTCAATTTTGGTATCATACCAACAATTTTTTATACGCTACACTATGTTCCCTGGGACTTTCAAAACAAACAAAAAGCGCCTTTAGTGAATCTCGCTCTGAAACAGACAGTTTATGAACTCACAATGCATCCAACAACAAAGGCAGCATGGATTATTTTTTATATAGTGATAGACAAACCAGAAACACACAAAGCTCCAATTTCACATGCTTATCCATTTTAGTATGAACAACGTGGACATGCACACTAACTACTGTGGGGGTAGACTAATCAGTTAGAGGGAACAAAAACTCTGTAGGTGAGACGTAAGGTAAGACAGGGTAAAACATGGAGTGATTCTTAGTGTGGGAATATTTCAGGCAGATCTGGTACAGTTCAAACTATATGTGAAGATTTATGGTTTGTCTAAAGGAAGATGGGGAATGCAGAGCAGAACCGAACACACATATCCATCTTCCTACAAATGAAAACTTAATGAATTCAGTACTGTTCTGTGTTGTTTTAACCAAATGTGCTTTCCGATTTAATGCATAATATATGCATTAAACTAGTGATAGTGGATCGACAAATTTATTTTTGACTGAATATTAGCATGATGAAATTGAAATGCATTTATTAATATTACTTCTATAGTGTCTTTTCAGTTTCTCATTCTGTGAACTAAAAAAAAAAAAGGTTTTGTCACAGAATTCAAAACCTGTATTACTTATATGAGGGGAAATGAACTGATATCATTGTTTACTTTTTTCCCACACTGTGTTAAAAGTAACCTGCCATGTAGGGGCTGTACTTCAGCCTGGTCAGCTCTCATTCACTGTGAGCTAGTTACATGCTGTCACAGGTACCACGAGGGTGATTAAAATAATGTGTTACTGTAAATTAAATACATGGTACAGTAACAGTTTTCAGGGTTAATCTTGAGAAAAATCTCTCAGATAGCAGAAATGGCTGTGGAACTGTGGGCTGTAGAAGGTGACTGGAAACATGTTCTACTTGAATCTGTTTAACAACATTAAAATTACATTTTACCCTACATTAGGTTGTGCCTCGCACATTCCTATGCTGATTTTGCTATGACACGATCTAGCACATCTTAGTGTCTCATAAGCATATGCAGAGTATTCAATAAAACATAAATAACTGAATATATGAAAAATTCATCCTTCTTTCTTTTTGCAGATGAATTTCTCTTTGACTTCAGTATTTCTCTTTGCAGAACATCATGCTTGTCACCCTTTGTGTTTTTTTAACAAGTCATCCCAACAGTGGACTGACCTGTCACATTTCCTTGTGTATGAAGACCTTAATGAGCCTTCAGCTTCCACAACTAAGACTAAATTCACTCTGACACAGAGGTCACAGCAAGAATGTTACATTACCAAGAATTTATTTGCCATTTTATACTGCTTTCAGAGTGTATTATTCATCATTCCATCAATGCGCCTGTTCTTGCACAGTGAACTGAGATTGATCTATGTTTACACATTGCCAAATTAGTGCTCAAATTAGGCTGCTTTTTCCATGTGCATATTATTCTGTTCACAAAAGCTACTGGTCTGAAAACAAAATCACATAAATGTGGTCCATCCAGATGTAAAAAGATCAGCTTGTATGTCTTGTGACTTTTGGGGAAAGGACTTAAGCTAGATTAACCTGGATATGTGAAAACTAATTTGAATTGACTGCCCATTAGGGGTGGGAATCTCTAGGCACCTCACGATTCGATTACGATTCAGAGGGCTGCGATGCGATTGTAAAACAATTATCAATGCATCTCGATGCATCTTTTTTTTTTCCATCATTTCTATTTTCTCACTGTGTGAGGACATGGTAGTTTTAAAGTAAACTATTTGTAATGATCCATAAAGAATTTACTTCCAATATCTTTTATTAATAGAACAAACGGAAGTGATGTGGCAAGTGAACTGGAAGGCTCTCATTCACTGCTTTTGGAGCACATGAGACGCTGCTGCCACTCATTTGCGATAAAATGCGCAGTAACGGTGAAATAAGATCCAGTGGTAATGGATGTCCACGCAGCACGTTACAGCCGTCCTACCCGTTTTCTTTAGTGATTTTATAACTTCGGTTTTGGTCTCGTTGTAGAGATGGCGGGGATCGCTGTGTCAGTAAAATATCTTCTAGACAGGACGTGTGCAACATAGCACGAAAGCCCTGTTTCGCAACGACTGAGAATTGGCGTGCAGACTGCAGGTCACATAGCAGCGATGCGTTATTCGCATTTATAAGCAGCGCAGTTGGTTTCTTGGAATGTTAAATCTGCAACGAGAGACTGTCAAAACACTAAAAAGTTGCAGAGATGAAGTCTCTCTCTTTCGAATTTTCCCAGTCTACCTTAAATGGTGCCGCATTTACATTCGGCGCCTCAGTCAGAATTTAAGGTTGAACGGGAAAATATGAACAAGAAGCTGGAGAATAAGAAGGGACGAAAAGCGGCTACAGTTAAAGCTTAAAGCAGAGTGAAGTAAATCTGCGCTCTCGTTTATATCGTTTAGCCTATACTAGCACATACTGGACATAAATATTGTGGCTCCCAAGTTGGTTTGATTTTTGTTGAAAGGACAAAATGGCTGTTCTTAACATTTGGGTTGTGACTCCTGACCTGACCTGGCTTTTAATGCAGAGGGTGCCGGTCGGATTTCTCACTCATCCAGTAGGGTTTTTGTTGTGTGCCGCCACAGACTGTCCCGGCGCTGCACTTACCCACGTCCAAGTTCTGCTTTTTGCGTTCCGTCAACCTTACGTTATAAATTGAATATTTAGAAAATCGATTTTTGACATTTGTGAATCGATTCAGAATCGTTCACGTCCACATCGCGATGCATCTAACAATCGATTTTGTCCCGCACCCCTACTGCCCATCTAGGCAAAGCCTGAGCTAAGCTTTCTGTCAAAATGGCCATTAAGTACTAGTTATTCATTCATAAAAAAAAGGAAAAAAAACATTAACAGAAAAGTAAACAGAAGCCTCCAACATGAAGTATATCAAATTTATCAGTATTTAATGCCTACATTCTTTACTTTTGTGCATCTGCTGCCACTTTAACTCTTCGATCCTTCCAATCTTTAAGCCAGCCACTTACAGCTGAGTGCTCCCAACAACAGCTGTTCCCAAAGGAGTCACTGACACTATGTTGCCCCCCTTTAAAGAGACACTAACATTTAAACACACAACTGCCCAAGTCACCTTTACGGCCTTCCATATTTCTCTCATGTGCATCTAAAATGTCTAAAGAAGATATTTCTGAGACTAAATACGAAACAATCCACCTGCATAAGGACGGGGAAAGTCAAAGGACAAGAAGTGAAAAAATGTTTCCAAAACTAGAGTTTAAAAAAAATGACTAAAATATATAGAGAAAATTGGATAACCATGTAAGACCTAGTAGACCACCAACAACTGTGCAAGATCTGGTAGACCACCAAAACTGTCCCCATCATATAAACAGCACTTAAAGCATTGAAAGAGAAAGAGAAAATCAAGCTCCTCTCTTGCTTCAGATCTGAAAAAAATTACAGGTGTTTCTGTTGATCCTTCCACCATGAGATGACAACTCAGCGCTGAACAGATGTGTAGCTGTCAAGAAGAAAGGAAATAGAGAGAAAACAAGGACATTTGCAGTAACATTGAACAGAACATCACTGAATGTGTTTGGGATTACTTAAATTGTGAGAAACAGAAAATGCAACCAACTTCTACGACTGAACTTTGGAGCTGTGGAGAAATATCCCTGCAGATTTCTTTGAAAAACTGAAAGTCTCCTGAAAAGAATGAAAGTGGTAGGCAAAGTGTGGACCCTCTAAATGAAAAATATCAGATTACATTTTGTTGTTCTAATTAAATGTTATTGTTATTATATTTATTTTTTTAGGTACACACAAACATTTACACTCTTTGTGGATTTATATTCATACTTCCATTTCATTGCTGTCTCTATGTTGGTTTTCAGGTCCAGGGTGAGATAAAGAGGAAATGGAGGCGGTGGCACTGGAGAGGTTCCTGGGCTCAGATACAAAGTACCAGCACCCATCCATGGGTAGCAACGGCAACAACTTTAGCACGCAGATCTCCATGCTGACCCGGTGCAGCCCCAAAACTCCCCGTGCCTCCACCTGCCATGACGAGTCTTCCATCACTGTGTAACTCAGCAGGGCTTCAGTTACCAGCCGCCATTTTGCATGTGGCCATTTGGGAGAAATAAATCGTGCTTTTGGGCACCAAATGGTTCATGAGGTCCAGTCATATGACACAGGGACAATCATCTAGTGTAGATTCACTCATGACGTGTCATACACTTTTGTGTGTGCATCAGAATAATGGATGGAGAAGTTCAGATAGCCTGAGGGTTCCACAAGCACTCCATACCACATTCTCTTTTAAGATTTAAGCTACAGCGAGCTTAGAGGTGAACATATAGAAGAGGTTTACACAAATTCTCATCTGAACTGTCCTCTCACAGGACTTCATCGCTACATGAGGTTACAATGATGAATCAGAAATGCTGTAACTGTAACGTCACAAGACATTGTTGACCTTCTTTGCCATATCTGCCTAACTTCACAGTATACTAATCACAGATATTAGAACCTGACATGGGTTAAGTACTGCTTAATCAGGAGTAACTGGGACAGCCTAAAAGGTGCTAACGGCAAGAGTAGACCTTTCTGAGTAAAAAATAACTACAACGGAATTTAAGTAATATAAAACTGACAGTGTTAATTTTATATTACCACATTCTGTTTCTTATGGACTCTTCTTTATTTTTCTTAGTTCTGAGTGTGTTAAAAGGGATGTACTTTTTACAAAACAATTAGCTTGGAAGTTCAGTAATGGTAGCAACTTCACTACACAAATGTCCAGTGTGCCCCTTTCAGAAATAGTACTCATCAGCCAAGATGTTCAGTGTCACATGTTTGCTTCTTATGTTTTGCACTGGAAACTACAAGCATAAATGTACTTACAAGTCTAACAAGTAATGGAAGCTATCTATAAAATGTACCTTCAAGCCTCAATGTTGTCCCTACTTTTGTCCATTTTCATAGATAAAAGCATGTACTCTATAGCGTCAGAAACTACAGAAACAGGTCTATTTGAGACTATTTACCAATTCAACACAATTTGAGGCAAGTGTGTGATGATTCAGGGAGCATTCTGACAGCAAGTCTAAGACTAAATGCAAGGGGCACTGTGGCCCATGGCTTAAAAAGAAGCAGGATGACAATGTGAACGACCTACATTTCTAAACTGACATAATAAACAGAAAACTCATATTTCTCACATTCAGACTGTGTTAATATTTATATCATGTCAATTTAAGTGCATTGTTTAAAAGTGTGAACACAGTGCAGGCTAGAAGAGCTCTTTTCAGTTGCAGTTCCATAGACATCACTAAAAAGCAGTGCGCGTAAGAGCGTTTCAAAAGGTGTCATCTGAATGGCTACTCTGGCATGTGGTGTGCACAGTGCTAACTCGTGGCTATATGCATCCATTACTTGTTAGTTAAATTAGCCTTGTAGCTCCAGTGCGTAACTGAGGACCAAACTTTGGACATCAAACACCTAGGCTTATCAGCTGTATTTGGGGTAAGGGGAAAACTGTAAATTTCACTTTTGGCCACACCATGACTTTAGATCAGAGCTTGGAATATGTGTACTTTTGTCAGATAATTGCTGCTTAAGTAAAGTAACTTCTATACTGCACATGTCTGACTGTGACTGAATGTGAATGTGCTGTGCTTGCGGGACCCACTCAACTTCATATCTAGCTAACTAGCTAACTGCACATTAGCTAGTACAGCAGTGGGTTTGAGTCCTGCTCTTGCAGTCTCCCAGAACTACACATTTGTTTACCCATTGTGTTTTCCTCCATTTTGACCTCATCAGGAGTTTCACAGTAACTCGACTGTTGAGTAAAGGACTTTTCACAGGCATTTTTTCAGGCCAAAAAGAGAACATGAGAAGAAAACGGAAGATGAATAAATGGAATCCTGAAGTAATAGCAACAATGACTTTGTCAGTTTAGGAAGTGTAACAAAAGGTTACTCTCTGGCTACATCCCATTCTACTAAGAAGACAGCACAGTATATAGAGCGGTTCAGAAGGTGTTTTTCCACGTCAAATTCGAAGCACTGCTTGCTCATTTGCTTGGACTGCAACCATGACAACAGAGCTCCGATTGGTCAGCCTGATTTTTAACGCATCCGAACAACACAAAGTCAAGCTGGTTTCCAATGAAAGATTTTGCCAGCATTACAGTCCATTAGTTTTGGACTTGATGTGAAAGTCAGCATTAATATACATGCGTTTTGAAACTTGACTTACATCTATAAAAAATCACAGTCACACTACTATGTGCAAGACAGGCACTATAAGAGCAGGTTTAGGAACCACCATTGTACAGTACAGTATCTTATAAAAAAAAAAAAAGACAACTTAATCTAGACAAATCAGAGGAAATGAGACTGACTGACAAAGTGGAGGAAAGGCAGAAGGCATTCTCTGCTTGGACTTGTTTTCTTTTTGTATAACTCTTATGTGAGGTTAATGAGAAAAAACACCAAAAAAGAACCAAACATGGATTGTTAAATATCCAACATAAATGTATATACATGGAGATACACTGTAGAGAGAAAATGTGACATTTCTCCCAGACACATTGTTTTTCTAAGTATTTTGTGGACCATTTTCTAAACCACAGGGTGTGCATATAGTGTGTGTGTGAGAGAGAGAGTGTGGGAGTGTGTGTGAGAATAAGTGATAGGTTTGGAAGCTGAATGCCCTTCTCTGCACTACCATCATCATTCCTTTTCATCCAATCGGTGTCCATGTTTGTCCCGTAATCACGTTAGCATCAGTATGTCATTTTGTATCGCTGCAGCAAGACAGGACATTTTTACTGCTGAATGTAGGATCCCATTCAGCACTGCGAGGCAAACAGCTACAGAGAAGTTTAGATCCAGAGGGTCACTGTCATTTAAAGCCCGATCCACTCATATCCTTTTATTTCCGAAAACATGTTTTCCCCCAATGGCTGAATATGACTATTAAAGCTGGTCGTTTAGTTTGGAACATAAATGTCAAAGAAGCAGCTCTTTTCTAATGATAATTTCTGCTAGCATACCTAAGGGTTTCTGGTAGTATGTAGGCGCTATGCTAACAGTGATTCACACAAGCATTTTTTTTGGTCGTTCTAGATTAAACCTGAACATTTAAAGCTTGTAAAAGACGTTTCATTTCAAGCTTGTGACAGATGTCAGCATATTTTACCTTGTAACCGTTTTACAGGGACTCTCAGAAAAGAACACTGGCTTAGAGCTGCTGCTGCTGTTTTCCACTTCTAACACCTGACTGAAATTAGGCTACCGCTTGTATCCAGTCAGTGACGTATCTAAAACTTCAATGAGGTCTTGAGTGACATATTTCCTCACAAACATGGTAAATCAAAATGTGATTAGTTGATCCCACTGTCACTTCGTAGACTGGTGTGTAAGGCCTTCAGCTGAGCTTTATGTGGCTGCATCGACCTAAAACCACTGGGGGGAAAAAAGTCATGATTCGATAATTTTCCATAGGGCATTTTATAATTCATACCCTTTTGTTTCCAAAAGGGAAAATCTCCGCAAAAATGATTTGAAAACGCTACATTTGTTAAAACCTTGTCATATCAAAAACTGAGGCTACAGATGGCATAAAAACACACTAGCAGGGACTTTCCCCTCTGCTTCTTTTGTTTTGCCATATTGTACGTATCGAGCAGGATGTTGTGTTTTTAAGTGGTATCAAACCTGTAGTGGTGAAGTTCTTAGATGCTGAGCCCTATCTTAACATTCGACATGAACAGGTAATATAAATCTCCTGTCAAATGTCCCTCATATAGACCATGAAATAGCTCCACATGTAATATTTATTTGAACAAGTCTATAATTGTTTGAACAGTCCCGCACTGACCAGTGAAGAAAACAAACAACATTTTAATAACTAATTTTAATTTTCAATATTACTAAAATTATTTGTAAAGTTGTAGATTTTGACGCTTCATTGTAGAAAGTCCCTCCCCAGAACCTAAGATTAGGAGTCTATAATAGACATACAAATAAATTGTAATGATCTGAACTAATTTTATTTCCTCTATACTGGTACAGTGGAGAAAATGTATATATAGATATCTCACAGCCTTGCTTGTCTGTCCTCATCTGCAATTAGTGTACAGGTCTTTGGCCCGAACAGCTGTGGACAATCAATAAGACTGACCTACATGCTGTACAAACCGCCCATGCTAAAGCGCAATGTGTGTAACATTTGAGCATCTCTGTGTTAAAGTATTTACATTGTTCCATCTCTGAACTCATCAGGAACACAATAATGAAGTGTGTTTATATTGTGCTATTACACAAAAAGAGCTCTTTTCTATCTGCTGTGTTTGTGGATAACCTATTTGGTGAACTGACTGACGTTTAACAGAAGGAAAAGCAATGAAATGATAAAGAATACGTGGCCTGCTCATCGATGTGTCCTTTTTCATGGTTTTAAGGGCCTGAACTAGCAGCTAGTTCAAGTCCAAGAAAGTCCTGGAAAGCAGCTTATTTGAAATAGTCTTTCAAACTGGGTCACCTCAGTATAAAAATCATTTTTTGACTTGGAATGTTCTCCTTCATGTCATTTTGTGCAGGTACAATGTAAAATAAACTTTGTATAGTTCTGTTTCACAGTGTATGTAAATCAGCTGTATAGTTGTGTCTGAATGTTAGTGTCGCAACAGGGATATTTTGCAGATTCTATTTAATGCCTAAAAAAAGCTTGAAGTCTCACATCACTGTCCCACAGTGTTTTGTCATTTTAAACAACACAAAGGTGAAGAGCCAAATGACCTCTCATTTATTACCATGAAGAATGTATGTTCTTACGTAGAGTAACACAGAAAGTAATATAGATTTTGTTTGTGCTGAATGTTTTTTTTTTGTTGTTTTGTTTAAAGGGAATTCCATCGATTTTTCAAAATCTGCATGATTTAGTTATTGAGAAGTAAAGAGTCATTCAGGGTGGTTTGATGTGAAATGGTTCAGTAAAGAAACGTAAGACTCATCGTTGTTTACAGTGGTGTTGATAGGGTTTAAGCAATTTCTACAACACAAATATAGCCATTTTATTAACTCCAAAAACAGTGAACCACCAGTGAACCTTCTAATCTTCCAAGATTATAGATAATGTTAATAATGGTAAATATAGAGGTAAATCTAATCCTTATTTTGCCTTGCATTTACCTATCCATGCTGGATGAATTTTAAAAATACATTTTATGCCAAAAGCTTTTCTTAAACTATCATAAAACTCAAATATCTCGGATATCAGGCAGCATATGCATAACCATTTTATATTGAAGTTTCTGTGAGGTATGACTTGGTTACATCTTTTACATTTAATTATGCAGACATTTTGAAAAATTGGTGGAATTCTCCTTTAAAATATTGGTTGTGTATTTTGTGAATTTTGTAAATATGTCTTCAAATGACAAGATGCCAATTGTTTCAGCTGTGCTGTACAGGTTCTTTTGTCAAGTTCGTTAGTTAATCATATTAAATGTCCTTTTTAATTATAGACCATTTACGCTCTTCAGCAGTGGAAGAACTGGATGCTGTGAGAATGAATCTCTGTATCTCTGTATTGTGAAAGTGAAGACAACTGTTCAGTGCATAATGCATGCTGCACACGCAATATACAGGACTACATCACAATTACTATACAAGAATAGAGCAAAATTTTCCAGTCATATACACGCTCACTGATTATTTTTGTATTCAAGCTCAAACATACTTACTTGTATTGACGTATTGTATATGTATTTTTGTAAGATCCAAAGTGAAATGCATATTCTAGTGATGTTTTACCACCAAACCATTGCTAATAAACAACTGCACATATTGTACAGTATTACTGACTGGGCTTATTATGTTCTCCAACTGAAACATTTTGTTTTAGAATTAAGTAATATTTGAAAATGGAATGACAAAGACAATTTTTATTTGTTTTGCTATATTATTCAAATGTAATTACACAAGTACAGTACCTTGCAAAAGTCAGAGGGCACCCTTTCATTTATTTTATTTCCAGTCAAAATGGGCATTAAATACAAGTGATTCATTTTTGCAGCATCAGAGAGAAACATATTTAACAGAAAATTACACAGAAGACTCAACCACTTTATATCATTTTTTTGTGTATCCAACTTTACCTTTATTACAAATTCTATTATTTTTAGGAGACTTGCTTTCAGT